TCTCTTCAAATACATGCACACATACATGCATTTTAAATTATAACCACATAAACGAGCTCATCTCTGCTGCAATCTGTCATACTTTTCATGCATTTCGGCCCATGAAAATTCTATTTTCTCTGCCTGGAATGACCTTCCCCAGTTTTCAACTTATGTTTAAGATCCAGTTCTAAAATTATTTCATGTGGTAGATCATTATAATAATGGCCCCTAAAGAATCACATCTCCTTATGTCAATGTGACATGCTATTCCTCCACCAGAAGTTGGTTTCTCTATCCTCTTCAATCTAGGCTGGTCTTGTGATTTGCTTTGGAGAATAGACTACAGGTACTTAACATTGCATGAGTTCCGGAGTTTAGGCCTTAAGAAGCCTTGTAGTTTTCTCCCTTTCCCCCTTAGAATTCTGAGATCATCAGTCTCAGTCCCAGTCTAATTTGCTGGGTGATACAAGGTGACACAGAGGAGAACTGAAGCCCCATCTAAGAGTAAGCACCACTGCCAAACAAATGAGTAAGCCCATCATAGACCTCTAGTCTCCACTGAACCATCAGATGACTAGGGCCTCATGGGTAAGACCAGCAGAAGAACTACCTGGATTACCAATTCATGGAATCATGATCACAAGAAATAAAAAATCATTATGATTTGCGGTGGCTGGTTATGCAGTAATAGGAAACTGATATACAACCTCAGAGAAATGTTCCAGACCTACTCAAGAAAAACTCATGATTCTTTCTCCTGGGCTTTGTTCATTTTTTCTATCATAACACACAGCTCATATAATTATTGGTGTACCTGTGTCTGTTTCTCTCATTAGATTAACAGTTTTTGAAAAGCAGAGACTAGGTTTTTATTTATCTTTACATCTCCTGTGACTACTCTAGTGCCTGGTACATAGCAACCGCGGACACTTATTACCCAGGTTATATATATACCATTTCCTGAAAGCCTTTCACTTGCCTTCTGGAACTCATGGTCAATCATACATAAAATTGTTCACATCCTCATCTTTTTCAGTTAATATTCCCTTCGTCTTCTTGTTCTTTCTCAACAGCCCTGGTTTCCTGCAGCTCTCTGAGGCAGTGGCTATTTTCCCTCCCATGCCTTACACACCATAGGTTTGAAGGCAGGTAAGTGACACCCTAGCTTCTCATGTCTTCTTTTAGACTGTCTTCATTCCCTGCCTCTTCTACCAAAAATGATTGGCTTTGACTCTCATAACATCAGATTAAACCACCTATTCCTCTTGTTGTGAAAGTCATCTACTGATGCCTAGGGCTCTCTCTCATTCCATGAAGATTTTAACCACAGACTCACAATCACCCTCTCTAACTACCCTCCTGTAGTGATTTCAAAATCCACATAGTTCAGTCTTCCCAAATCATGGCCCCTTAGTTCCTTGACCTCCTGTCTTCTACCTCCATCCTATCTCAGTCATTTATTCCCATGGTCATACCTCATATCTTGTGACCACCAATAAATTGCAATCCCTCCATAATCCCAATTTCAAACATTCCACTATCCAATCACCACTCCCTACATTTCTAGCTCTTACTTTGGCCCCCAAAACTCCTTTTCCACCAGACTGTAAAGTTTATGGTCATCTTCACTATTCACTACTCTTCACTATTCCTCACCTAACTCATGTTTCACTTCCATCCTCACTCAGTTAAAATTTAATGGTCAATCATTTCGGTTACTCTCTTGCCTCTCTTGATTTATTATACTCTCATACTTGCTATAGCCTTAATTAAGTCCAGCTTTCTACCTGACACATGTCCAAATCCAGAGAGCTAAATGTGGTTCAAGAAAGAATTGCCTCTCTTTAAATTCATAAATATTAATAATCTCAAGAGGGTCCTTAATGCTACCTCACAAACTCTATTTCCTTAGTCCAGACAACCTCTTTACACCCCTAGATGACTATTTCACAGCTTCTAATCTCTTCTCAAACCTAACATTTCCACCTTCTTTCCTTTCCATATTACTAAGAAAATAGAAACAATTAGAAGGAGACTCCTACAAGCTCCCACCACCCCACCGTGTTTATTCGCAACTCTGTGCATCTACTGTGCCTCTACTCGTCTTCCTATGAATAAATTGTACGTGTTTCTAGCTAGAACAACCCAACTAACGTGCATTAGATTCAATCTCTTACCTACTCAATGATATCGCTTCTCAAATTTTTCCTCTATCTCCTGCAGCATTTTCCCCTCCCTAGTGAGTCATTGCCATCATCATAAAAGCATATTGTCACTTTGATATTACTTAAAAACCTACATGTTCTGACTCCACTTACCCCTCTATATTCTACTGCATTTCTTCCTTTTAAGGAAAACTCCTTCAAAGATTAATTATACTCACTACCTCAAATCACTCTCCTCCCATTTTGACTTGAACCCACTCCAATAAGGCTTTTTGCTATCCCCTTTCCCAAATGCTTCACGGAATGTGCACTTATCAAGGTCAGCAGTTGAATTCAATTGTTGCTAAGTTCAAAGGTTGATTCTCAGTGCTTATCTTACTTGATTATCAGCAGCTTTTGACACAGTAGATCACTCCATTCTTCCTTGAAACACTTTCTGAGAATCTGGCTTCTAAGAAACCATGTCCTCCTGATTTTCCTCTTCATCTCCAGCTGCTCCTTCTGTTTCTTTCACTGACTTTTGTACGCCAGAGCATGCCTGCCTTGGAGACTTAGCACTTGCTTTCTGGAATGCTCTTTCCCTCAATATCCACATGACTCAATCTTTCATCTTCCTTCCATCTTTACTCAAATGTTACCTTCTCAGAGTATTTTTTGGCCACCCGTTCCAAAGTTGCAACACTACTATCCCCCTTTCACACTTTTATTTTTCTCTTTGGCTTTTATCACGACCTGAAATTCTGCAAATTTTCCTTATTTATTTTGTTGTCTCCTCCATTAGAATCTAAAATTCCATGAACAGAAATTTTTATTTGTTTCATTTATTTCTGAATCCCCACTGCCCAGCAATGTTTAGAACAGAGTAAGCACCTAATAAATATGTGTTGAATGAATGACCAAATACACTGGAAAAAGAACCAGATGGAACTTCTAGAAATAAAAAAATAAAATAACTGAAAAGAAACACCTAAAATCTAGATTAAAGAGAAAAACATTTTTCAGAGAACAACACAATATCAACAAAAGAAATATTCATGGTTCATCTTAGGAGTCTAGCATAAATTTGATACCCAAACCAGCAAGGAGGGTAAGTAAGAAAAACAACAAACCAATCTTGCCATGAAAATAGATTTAAAAATGCTAAACAACATTTTATCAAGCAAAATCCAGAAATGTATGAAAAATATATCATAGCCAATATTATAATTCCATTTATATAAATTTCAAAATTAGAGCATACTAACAATACAATCATCCTTCATTATCCACATCTATTTGGTACCTGAGTTCAAATAGTGACAGTCTGAATAATGAGTTAGGAAACTTATGGGTACCTCAGTTGAATGTATTTATTTTTTAAGGTGATATACTAATATTGACTCTTTTTTTTTTTTTGGTGTGCTGTTCTATGAATTTTGACCTACATACAAATTAATGTTACCACCACCACCACAATCAGGATACAGAATAGTTCCACTGTAACCTTATAAAATTCCTTCATGTGATCCCTTTATAGTCATATGCTTCCTCAGCTCTCAGTCTTTGGCAACCACTGATCTGTCTCCATCACTATAGTTTTGGGCTTGTTTAGAGTATCATATAAATGGAATCATATAGCATGCAATCTTGTGAGACTGGCTTCTTTCACTCAGAAAAATAACTTTGAGGTTCATCTAAGTTGGTGCCTGTATCAATAGTTCACTCCTTTTTATTAATGAATATGGGTCTACCACAGTTTGTTTATTCATTCACACATTAAAGGGCATTTGGGTTGTGTCCAGGCTTTGGTGATTAAAAATAAAGTTGTTATAAATACTCACGAGTTTTCGTCTGAATGCACATTTTCATTTCTCTCGGATAAATGCCAAGGAGTGGGATTCCTGGGTCATATGGTAAGCATTTGTCTAACATTACAAGAAACTTCCAGAGTAGTTGCATTTTTACCTTCCCACCAGCAGTGTGTGAGAGTTCCAGTTGCTCAACAGCCTCACCAACACTTGGTATTGTCAGTATTTTTTTTATTTTAATTATTCTATAATTTGGAAAGCAAATAGCTATATTTTGATAATGAGAGAACTACCTAAAATTTTATCTTAATTTATTTGGTTATCTGTTTAGATATAAGGGACGCATGCCCACGTGGTAAAATTATGAAGAAAAGCAACAAATTGATAAGGATAAAAGTATATAGTGGTTACTTGTGGTGGAAAGGGAGGCAGATGTCATCCATTAGGCTCACAAGGGGCTCTAAGATACTGATGACACATTATTTAGGAAGCAGGATGTTGGGCACAGGTGGTCTGTTTTAGTATTATATCTGAAACTATAACCATGTGTTTGATACACTTCATAATTAATTTTTAAAAATGTCTGAGCATACAAAACACACAAAATCCTCAAAGTATTGCAGAAAAATATTCTAAAACCACTTCTTTCAAGAGTTCAAGTACAGTGAGTTAAAAACTTAAAATAAAAGCATTTTGCAGAATTTGAACACAAGACTTTCTTAAAGCTTGTTTAAAACTAAAATACTTTCTTTGATATATCTGCACTTGTGTAAATCTCATAGGCCAAATTGCTGATGGGCTATCCAGTTCATTAATAAGCTTGTTTCTTTCCAGGAGCCTCACCCTGTACACAGAAGGGCTGGTCATGGTAAGACAATTCTGAATCACTGGCAAAGAGTAGCTTCTGGAAACCATGACCAGAGCTTGACTTTGTTTAAGAAGCACATTGAATGTATCATCTTTACTAGTCACAAATTCTCAGACACACCCCAGGGCACAATCAAGACTATACAACTCTTCAGCAGGCTTTCCTATTGCCACCAACACTTGTAAGGAGAGTGTTTACCTGTGACAACACTGGGAATTTTGGAGAGAAAGCTCTTGACCGTTCTGATGGGCACACCACCTGTCTTGTCATCTTGCATCTTTGTAATTATGTCTTCAATCTGAAAGAGGATAAAGAAGTGTCATTTCCTCCCATAAAGTAATAGTTTATTAATAGCCAAAATGAACATATATGAACATGTATGAACAACAGATATAAAAAAAAAAGCCTCCGCCTAGACAGCTAATAAATGTAGTAGCAGGATCTGCAATAAACCAAGCACTGGGGGTGGGTGGGGAGGCCATGAGGTTATATATAAGAGCATAAAGCATAGTCTACAAGAACAGACTCCTAGATCAAGAAGGTAAGGAAGGAGAAATATTAGGATTCCTAATGAAATCCAACTTGTAATTCAATATGCAATGAAATTTCTCCTTTTTCCCAAATTTGGTTTATATATGGGCTGAACAATATGAACCATCTGGCCTTTGGGACCAGTGCAGGATCCAGGCAGAATCACACAGGAGAAAAATAAATACTGTAAATTAAGACATGGAAAGTTCTAATCCAGAGAAACTAGAGGACAGGTTTCAGTGGTTGGTTGTGGTGGTGTGAGGGTGGTCACTTTATGCCAGGATTAAAGTGGAACAACGACAGAATCTTCTCCTTTTGGGCTAAAGAAGACCACACTGCCAAAAGAAAGTCTATGGTAGGCTGTGGCTTGAAGCCAGTGAGATTTTGTTAATAAAACAAGATATTATGTATATATGTTGAACACAGAGCTGAGAGAGAAAATGGATTACTAAGGATGTAGGTGCATATATTGGGAAACCAATTTGTAGCTAAGAATTTACAAGCCAGATGTAATTTCCTGGGCAGAAAGCTTCAGAATAGGATACAGAACAATCTGTGACAAGGACATAGATCTTATTGTTTGGGGGGTTGAGGGTAAGGAGCAACTGGAAAAGGGGAGAAGATGATGTTTAGTTTTATCATACATCTTGTTGCCCTAAGCAACAGAATATCTGTGAAACACAAGGATGATCTTCTGAGTACTTCCATAAAAGATGCACATAACTTTAAGTCTAGAGATTTATTTTTTATTTTATTTTAAAGATTTTATTTATCTATTTGACAGAGAGGGACACAGCGAGAGAGGGAACACAAGCAGGGAGAGCGGGAGAGGGAGAAGCAGGCTTCCAGCAGAGCAGGGGGCCCGATGTGGGCCTCGATCCCAGGACTCTGGGATCATGACCTGAGCTGAAGGCAGACGCTTAACGACTGAGCCACCCAGGCGCCCCTAAGTCTAGAGATTTAAAACTCTAGCCCATCTAGTCTAACATACTTGTATTGCAATTTGAGGTTGAATTTCTCAAAGTCACATGGCAACTTGTTTGATAGATATGAATAAGTCATTAGAGACTAGGTTAGGATACAGAATAACTTAATAATTATATTACAATAGCTAAAATATATTAAGAATTTACTATGTGCTAGGTATTATTCCAAGTATATACACATATTATCCTATTTAATCTTCATGATTACTTCACAAGCTAGATTCCACTGTTTTTCAAATATCAAACCAGGGTAAATCAGGTTAAGTTTTTCTAACAAATAACCCTCAAAATCACAATGGCTGAGTACAATCAAGTTTATTTCTCTCTCAGGCTTCAAGGCTATCACAGGTCACCAGGGGGACTCTGCTCATTGTAGTTACTCTGAGACCCAGGCTGATGGAACAGCCACCATCTTGAATGTTGCTTATCATCGTGCTAGAGGGACAAGAGAGAATTCTGGAGAATCTTGCATTGATTATTAAATGTTATGGCCAAGAAGTTATATATAACACCTTTGCTCACAATTCTTTAGCCAGAACTAGTTATATGGCATCACCCTACCACAAAGGAGCCAGGGGGTCCAGTTTTCTGGGTGCCAGCAGGAAAGGGGAACCGACCATTTGTGAGCAGCACCAATGACCACCACAGAAGTTAAACAACCTTCTCAAAGTCACACAGCTACCCAGTTGAGTTTAAACACAGCCACAGATCTCAGAGCTCAGGTTTCTAACTCCTGGGCTGTGCTGCCACTCAGTAAGATTCCCAGAAAAGCAGCCAAGCAGGAAGACCACTTTCCTCTGGCTATTTCTGGGTTTTCCTGAGAAGTAGTGATAATAAGAAAGAATCTTAAGCTCCTGGCCCTTTAGGGAGTGGATGGATATATCATGCTAAGAATAAAGGTTATTCTCTGAAGACCTGCATTCTGTTAAAAGACAGGATAAGAAGACTTTTCATCCACGTTCATGTTAATCATCTCAGCTAGTGCCCTGCCTTACTGCTCCCAAACTTAACCCAATGATTTAGAGTAGTCTGAGTATTCCTTACTGATAGTCAAGGAGAGTTATTCCTAGAAAAAAATGGTCATATTTTCAAAGTAATCTATGCTTTTGATCTGATGTGCTATCTGAAACCACATATATCAGTTACATTGATGCTTTTTATAGAATGGACTCAAAATCATTGGGAATTGGAAGGAAGCCAATATTTCAATTCAGTTAGACTCCTGACTTGCCATTAGATGACAGCAATTTCCAGTCTCTGCTGATGTGGGCTGGATTTAAGGACTGGCTGTGCTGAGGAATGCTCCACAATTCTTTTCTTCTATGCTCTGTCTAGTCATTTCATCACACCACCGAATTTTAAAAGGACGTATTTATTAAAGAAGACCTATCTTCTCATGTAGGCTCACAATGTGCCAAGAGGTATATTATTTATCAGAGGTTACAGCCAGATCAAAAGGACAACCACCTTAAGTGACCAGAAAGGGAATTACATTGCAGCAATAGTTTACAACACCAGAGGTGTTGAAGAATGTTCATTGGTCCCCAATTCTCGACTCCTCCATAGTATTAATAATTACCCAATTCTATGCCCTGGCCTCACAGTGGGCAGAGAGTCTGCCCCTTGACTTTTGGGCTTGGCCATATGACTTGCCTGGCTAATGGGAGGATACTGAACATGATGTGAGCAGAGGCTTTCAATGTACCTGCATGGTCATGCTCATCGTCTTCTCTTGCCCTCCTGTATCAGATAGTTTTTGTTCCAAGGAAGGTGAGAGACATCTGGAGCAGAAGGGACTCAACCTACAGCTGGATAGGTCAAACCTCAGTTGATGCGCACACTCAGGAGCTTATTGTTGTAATCCCCTGAGTTTGGGTGGTTTGCTCTGCAGAAAAATTATGGCTATAGCTTACTGATACAATGGGGCCCTAAAATAAATGCACGGATCAGAAATTGCTGAAGCCACACAAATACTTAGTAATAAGAATCAATGAGTCCTTGAGGTGGGGCATCCTAAAATCCAGCGCTTTTTAAGGATGCAGAAATTCCAATTATACCATCCACCATTTACTTAAAAATTCTCAGGGCCTATACTCTTCTGTAGCCCATTCTGTTGTTGTGTTATGAAAATTTGTAATAGCTGAGTTTGATTCTGGATCATGGTCCTCTGCAACATCAGCTAATAATACTACTTCTGAATTTTTTTTGGTCATGGTTTCTGGTGAAATGCTAAGAGTACCGACCTACCAAAAAACCCAAAGTGGGCTCCCAGGGGTTTATATACGTTATAATGGCAAACACTTTCAGAACACCTACATATGATCAACGCTGTCCTTGGTATTGTTTTAAATAAATTATATAATTTATTTCTCAGTCTTAAAAGTTACTTAGTAAAGATGTTGAAATTTAGGCTGAGAAAGGTTAGGTTTACCCCAGGACAAATGGCTAATAAGTGGCAAAGCCCAAATTCTTGTCCAAGTCTTCCTGACTCTAATGATGCCCAAGCTCCACCAAATCCAAGATTCACCTTATTTTCAACCAGTGTCTGCTGACATGCTCTTCAGATACAAAGCACTTAATACCGTTTGCATTGAAGGGGAAGTTTAGCTCAGTCCTAAGGGGGTGGAAAAGGAAAGAGAGAAATCGATCCAGATAATCAGATTATCAACCATCTCAGGATTTATTTCGGTCCACTGCTGATGCCTACCTGCTCTGTGTTTTTTCTCTCTTTGTCCCGGAGACTTGGAGAGATTTATCTTCTACTCATAGATCACAGCTCCTGGGACTGGAGAGATGGGAAGGTATCTACTTATAGTTTCTTGGCTATTCAGTCCCATCTAAATTTTAATACTTTTGTTCCCGGAGAAGAGCAACATCAATTCCTTGATACCCTTTAATATGAAGCTCCGTGTCATAAGGGAGAATGTTGGACCTCAGTTACCCTGTGCCAATCAATACAAGGTGGCCCTTATTTGACAGTGAGTGATGCAAAAAACCTCTTTGGCCTGCTCAGCAGGTTCTGCCTGGATGAGTCCCAACAACCAGGATACCTTCCTACAAAGGAGTTCAAAACTCAGCACTGACATGCAGGTAGAACATTCTTCCAAACAGCAGGACAAATGGAAACCATTACACCATAGGGTGGGTTTCCTTTGAACTGAGGAATGTCATGAGACAGTAGACAGAATTCACTGATAGAGCTGTCGGATTAAGAGAGGGGTGAGGAGAAGCAACCATCTCTCCACAAAGTGAGGCCACAGCAGGACCGCAGGAAGAATACTGGTCTGAGGCCCAGGAGAAATGTTAGCCTCAGCTTCACTGATGTGCTGGGTCAACCCTGGACAAGTTCCTTAACCTCTCTGGACGTTATTGCCCTCATCTCTACAGTGAGAGTCCTGGTCACTAAACGAAGATTTCTAGTTCTAGGACACAAGAGCCTCCACTGACTTGACAAATGCAAAGCTGTGTCTGCAAGGAAAGAACAGGACAGGCATTCAGGCCGTTGGGTCCCCATTCACCACGCTGCCCGTCTGCCTGGTGGCTCCACACAGAACCCTTCCCTGTGCAAGGTGGCATGCTGAGCAGGACCAGGGAGTTTTAATGTTTTCAGAAATCATTTTGGACAAATGTCATTAGAAGCCAGACAGAGACATGATCCAAAGAGGCCCTGACACTGTTCCTTACTGACCAGTCCATGCCTGCTCATCTCTGCTGATACAGATGGCACTCCTAACAGGAAGGACAAAGGGCCAATGTCAGTTTTGTTTGTGTAAATTAATTA